AACCTCTAATACTGAAAAGGTGAACAACTTTCTTGCATCTCTTCCCCAAAATCTTTCAGAAAAAAAATACAAATTCCAGAAAGTTACAGTTCACGCATTAAAATGGCATCTGACAGTTAGGTCTCCCTAGGATTGGGCATTTTGCAGACAGGTTAAAGCCAGAACCCATGCGTTGTGAGATCAATGCCTTGCAGCATTTTGTTTTGATCTCCTATACTTAGAGGCAGTGAGAAGAGGAAAGTTTGATCCTTTTGTTTCTGTTCTGGGAGCACCTATAGGGAATAGAGATGGAGATGTTAAAGGAGGACCACCCCAAAGACTCTTTTGAGGGTTTCTGGTATAGACAGTGTTGGAGAGCGTGCTAGGAAGCAGGGGATGTTGCAGAAATAAGAGGAGGACCTAAAACAATACTTGCAGAAGACAGATTTTCCTCATGTAAGGCTTGCATCAGGTTAGGGGGGGTGTGGAATGGAATACTTGGTTTCAAGAGTGAAAGAAAATTTTAGTAATGAAGCTAACAGGTATATCAAGTTACCAGTTAAGCATTTTGGCAATCAAGCCATTTCATTGGCTCGATATTACTATCGTTTAGTTGACACTGATTTGATAAGGCTGCTCAAACCACCTACTTAAAAGGATCGTTAGTCAACTAGTGTCTTATCCACCTGACGAGATAGGACTTTTAATCCTTTCAAAACAGATCTGTAGTACCAAGTTTTAATTTTTATTTTCCTGAATAATTGTTTACAAAGCTCCCTATGATTGTAGAGCACTCTCCGACTCAAGGATAAGGTTTTTTATATTTTTACATTTGTATACGCTCCGTAAGTTGAGCACTCTATTATCACGAGTCCATATGGAGAAGTTAAATTTTAACTGCTCAACCAAGAACATACCAATACCGACTAACAAGGAATACCTGAAAAGGCTGATTGAAATGACGGAAAGGCTTATCAACAGAATGCGCTGGCGCGCCTACCACTTCCTTAATACATCATCAGTGTCCCACCACCGTGAAACATACGGCTTTAACTCAAAGAAAACACCACCGCAAGTGTCTGAGCTTAATGAATTCGAAGATAAGATGACTAACCTGATCCGAAACTTCGAATTAAAAGCACCCCGCCCTTTCGAATTGCAGAAAAAAATATCACAGCACGTCGATTCCATCAACAAGGACAGCAACCTGTATGTACCAGCAGATAAAACCACGAATTTCTATAAGATGAATGCTAATGACTATAAGTCACTGCTGAACAAAAACATAGAGAAGGAGTACAAGAAAGCCCCCGCTAACGCCGAAACGCATATTAACACCGAAGCGAAAGACCTCGCCCAAACCCTAAAGATAGACGATAGAGTTGAAATGTTGGCACCTAAAGAATCATTCATCACTTTGAAAGACCACAAGAACAACTTTCAGAACAACCCTACATGCCGCCTGATTAATCCAACCAAATCAGAGTTAGGCAAAGTAAGCAAGCAAATCCTTGATAAGATAAACAAAGCCGTCATCGATAAGACTAACGTTCATCAATGGAAAAACACAAGAGCGACCCTCGACTGGTTCATCAATATCCCTAACAAAGACCAACACTCGTTCATTGCCTTCGATATTGTAAACTTCTACCCGTCCATTTCACACAAGCTTCTAAGCGACGCCCTATCTTTCGCGGCTTCCTATATCGACATTTCCGCGGAAGATAGAAAAAT